GCTTGCTTGATCGAGAGTTCGAGGTGCAGATTGGAGTTCATTTCATCTCTGGCATGCCCTGAATTTTAGGATGCAGCTACTTGGGTCGATAGGGCGATTCTGCTGCTGCATTGGCATGGCTGGCTGTTGATGCGCTGCGTTTGTTTGAGGCACTCCCTCTTCGGTCTGTCAAACTTGCTGAAGTCCAAGTCACTCCCTGCCTCTATGTGCCAGCTCTTCGCTCTGAATTTCTGAAAAGGACACAGGGTGACTATTCATGAACTGAAAAATTGCCTTCTACTTCTAGATGAGAAAAATCTGTATAATTTTGTGGCTACAAGACTCGCCTAGAAGACTGACTTTATCAGTGTTGTGCCCATCTCATTCTAGAACCGAGAAATTGGTTCGCACCACTTCCTCTTCTCTTCCTCCTCATTCCTTGCTTCATTCAGACCCGTTTCTCTTCTTAACTGTTGTATTAAGATCACACCAAAGCTGCTGGCTTATAGGTTCCAAGATGTCATTATAAATCTGGCACATATAAACCGATCTGGATTCTTGAAGTCAAGATCAATTCAAGACGGTCTTGCCTCGGCCTTTGAATACCTTTATCAGTGCCACCAGTCAAAGAAATGAAATTATAGTACTCAAATTAGATTTTGAAAAAGCGTTTGACTTGATTTAACACAATACCATTTTCGGTATCCTGGGTGCTAGAGGTTTTTGTCAGAGATGGCGTAAATGGATCAGAATGGTTTTTCGATATGGCACTTATGTTGTTCTCCTTAATGACCCGAACACTGCCCGTCGATGTGCTGCGCTCGTTTAGACGCCGCTGCCGGAGCCGAAGCCAAACTTGTTGAAATTCCAGCTCTCTGCCTGCCTTGGTCTGAAATTTCTCAAAAGCACACAGGGAGACTATTCATGAACTGAAAGATCTCCTTCCACATCTGACTGAGAAAAATCGGTGTAAATTTGTGCAACGGGACTTGCCTAGAAGACTGACTCCATCAATACCGTGCTCATCTTGTTCTAGCACCAAGAGTCGAAGATGCACCCCTTCTTCCTCCTCCTCCTCACTTTGTTGATTCCCCATGAAATCGTCTCCGGCACAACAGCCGCCACCTTGTGTAACCGCTGGTGCGGCGACACCACCGTCCCCTACACCTTCGGCTTCTCCGACGGCTGCCCCATCGCCCTTTCATGCGACGCCGACACCTCCACGCCGACCCTCTCGTACACAGGAGGCAGCGGCACGTCGTACCGCGTTGTCTCCTTCAACTCCACCATCTCCACCGTCATGGTCAGCCTCCCTGTGTCGTGCATCCGCAGCGTCCCCGATGTCAGGAGGGCGCTCTCGGGCGCCAATTACGGCGTCTCCGCGCGCACCATGCTCTCCGTCCGAGGGTGCCACAACGCGTCGGCATCCAGCTGTATCATACCCGCGGGCGTCATTTCGAGGCTGCTCGACACGGCGCGGTGCGACGGCAGCGATGCCTCCGTGAAGTGTGTCGCCTCCGTTGCGCCGAACGCATCCGCCGGGTTGGCGTACAGGCAGTTCCTGCGGTGGGAAAACGTAGAGAGGGCCAACTGCGATGACGTGCTGGCGTCGGGGGTGTGTCTGGACATGGTGGATGGGGTGCTGTCGCTGGCCAACGAGGTGGCGGAGCTGGCGTGGTGGCTCAACGGCACGTGCGTCGTCGTCGGCGGGGGTTGCGCGGCGAACGCGACGTGCTCCTATGTAAATACGCCGAGCGGGTCGGTGGGGCGGTGCACGTGCGTGGCAGGGATGAACGGCGACGGGTTCTTGGCTGGAGACCGATGCTACGTCGGTGAGCACTGCTTCCACTTACACTTCCCCTGATTTTGTTTCCAATACATGTCTGAATATATAAGTAGTGATGAATAGTCCGCATAATTTTTGTTAGATTTATAGTTTCCGTAGATTTAGTATTCCCGACGTATCGGGTTACATCGTCGGGGAAGTCTGTCATCAACCGAGTATGGTTTCCGCTGCTGAGCGCCCGAAACATCTGTTGCGTAAGCTTTAACTTACTGAACTGGTAGAAGGTCTTTTATATGAGTCTGAGTTGGTAGAAGAGACGTGGAACTATGATTTCTTAAGTTGTAGTAAGCTGCTATTAAGCGTTTTTTCCCAGTATATAACAGTATCTCTGTTAATTAATAAGAGTTCCTTAATCTAAGCTGATGATGCTGTGGGAAACGTCGTACCCTGCTCTGGGCGACGCCTGCATGTTATATTGCCAGGGGCGCGACTCCCTGGATAGCGTACAAGTGGTTTAGATTACAACTTGGGAGAGAAGGAAGAGATATCTAGTTACAAAGGATAACAGAGAATATAAACTGACTATCTCTATCTCTACCTCTAGTCTTCGGCTACAAGGAAAGGAAGAAAGGTGCCGGCTAGCTAGACTGCCGAATCATGTACACATGTGCTGGTTTAACACCCTCCCTTAATCACAACTTGGTCAAGTTGAGATTACGCTTGAATTCCTCAAGACTCCTTGTAGGTAATGCTTTTGTGAACCCATCTGCAACTTGATCTCGTGAGTGCACAAAACGAATCTCCAATTGCTTATTAGCCACCCTTTCTCGAACAAAGTGAAAGTCTATCTCAATATGTTTGGTCCTGGCATGGAAAACTGGATTAGCAGATAAATAGGTAGCACCAAGGTTATCACACCATAGACACGGGACTCGAGTGTGCTTCACACCAAGCTCTTTCAACATGGACTGAACCCAGATAATCTCTGTTGTGGCATTAGCTAGTGCTTTATACTCAGCTTCTGTGCTTGATCGTGACACTGTGGCTTGTTTCTTTGCACACCAAGATATTAAATTTGGTCCAAAGAATACTGCAAAACCTCCAGTGGAGCGTCTGTCATCTGGACATCCTGCCCAATCAGAATCAGAAAAAACACTAACAAGGGTTGAAGAGGACTTGCTGAAAGTAAGACCAAGGGCCATAGTATCTTTTACATATCTCACTATACGTTTTGCAGCAGTCCAATGATTTGTAGTGGGAGCATGAAGAAACTGACATACTTTGTTAACAGCAAAGGAAATGTCAGGCCTTGTTAAGGTTAGATACTGAAGAGCTCCCACTAAGCTTCTGTATCTGGTACTGTCTTCTTGACTCAAAAGTTTTCCCTCAAAAAGTGACAGTTTTTCTGTGCTAGATAGTGGTGTTGGTGAAGGCTTACATCCTTGCAATCCAACTCTCTTTACCAGATCAGTGGCATATTTTTCTTGAGAGAGATGAAGGCTATCTCCATGCCTTTTAACTTCAATACCCAGGAAGTAATGCAGGTCTCCCAGATCCTTAAGAGCAAACTCAGCACTCAAATCCTTTAGCAGTCCTGACACAGCTTCATTAGATGAACTTGTGACAATGATATCATCAACGTAAATAAGAACAAATATAGATGTATTTGACTTATTGTAGATAAACAAGGATGTGTCAGATTTTGAAGGGAGAAAGCCAAGTGCTTGCAGTTTCTGACTCAGTCGTGAGTACCACGCCCTGGGAGCCTGTTTCAGTCCATATAGAGCTTTGTCAAGTTTGCAAACATAAGATGGTTTGCTTTTGCTTTCAAACCCAGGAGGTTGCTTCATGTATACTTCCTCTTCCAGAACACCATGAAGGAACGCGTTCTGTACATCTAGCTGTCTGAGACTCCATCTCCTGGAAACAGCAATAGACAATACGAGGCGAATAGTAGCAGCTTTAACAACCGGACTAAAAGTGTCCTCATAGTCTATGCCATACCGGGTAAGATAATTATACGAGTAACTATATATCCAAATCACACAAACATCAATTTGTTAATGTAAAACATTCATGAACAAGAGCCACACCACAAGGTGGTGCCGGCAGCGGGACGGTGCGGGCGATCGACGGTGGTTACGATGGAGATTTAGAAGGCACTAAGTAAACCACACCTACAAATGCAAACTAAGTGTTATTTTTGACCTTAAATTGCATATAAATCAAATACTAGCACATATAATTCCTTCCAAATTACTAAACTCACAAATTAATCACTATACAAAGCATTGCAAGAGCTAATCTAGCAATGAGAGATGAAAGGACAAAGTTGCTAACCTTTGTGATCATTTGAATGGATGGGGGCCTTCAAATCTTGACAATTTTTGGGCAAAATTTGTGATGAGCTCGAGGAAGAGAGGGGAAGAACAGAAGAAGTGAGGGGAAAGGAGAAGAACAGAGCGAGCTCGGGTGGATGAAGGGTTTATGTATGACGACCTTTAGTACCGGTTGGTGCCACGAACCGGTACTAAAGGTGCTGGAGGGCCCCAGACTGACAACATCCTGCCACCACTCTCTTTAGTACCGGTTCGTGGCACGAACCGGTGCTAAAGGTTCGCCACAAACCGGTACTAATGAGAGCGGCCGGCTAGCCGTTGGAACCGGCACTAATGGACACATTAGTGCCGGCTCAGAATCAAACCAGCACTATTGTGTCTCAGATTTGACCATTTTTCTACTAGTGGTCTTACAACAATTAATATATATGCAATTCCTCACTTCTCTTTGATACTTTTAACATTTCAGATATGATATAGTGCTCGGTGTAGGTTCGGCGCTTCTATACCTGCACCAAGAGACGGAGCAACGCGTGGTGCACAGGGACATCAAGCCTAGCAACATCATGCTAGACGCCTCCTTCATCGCCAAACTCGGTGACTTTGGGCTCGCGAGGCTCATCAATGATGGCCGGAAATCGCACACTACCGGTATAGCCGGCACGATGGGGTACATCGATCCTGAGAGCTTGTTGGCCGGCAGGGCGAGCGTCGAGTCGGATGTGTACAGCTTTTGAATTGTCCTCCTCGAGGTTGCCTCTGGGCAGCGGCCAGCTCTAGTCCAGGAAGACGGTGACGTCGTCCACCTGGTGCAGTGGGTGTGGGACTTGTACGGCAAAGGATCAATTCTAGATGCCGCCGACGAGCGACTTAAGGGGGAGTTTGACAGCACGGAGATGGAGCGTGTTATGGTCGTGGGGCTCTGGTGCGCGCACCCTGACCGTGCGATGCGGCCATCCATCAGGCAAGCGTTGAACGTGCTGCGGTCCGAAGCGCCATTACCAAGCCTCCCGGATAGGATGCCGGTAGCGACCTATGGGCCACCGACTAATCATTCGAGTTCCGGAACTTTGGCGCTGAGCAGCGTCAGTGGCCGGTGATGGTGTTCCCACCAGAACAATAGTTAAATTCTCCAGTTAATAGAATCTTAGTTCCTTGTGTTGGTTACCAATCGTCCACGATCAGGAGACAAGTATGCATGAATAAAATGTTGCCACCGTTCAGCATCTACAGAGCAAACACCATGTATATTGCCGGACCATCTTTGTTTGGAAAGAAACTCTTCCTCTTCCTTCTCAGTTTCTTGCACCTGGCTTGATGTCCCTATGCACCACTTCTTCCTCTTCCTATCTGTTTCTTGCTTCCTCATGAAACCTTATCTGTTGATGATTCTTTTGGTTCTGCGGTGCCCAGCGGCTTCGTGGAGGCCGGCTCGACTCATTTGGCGCGAGACAAAGTCTGACTAGATGAGACAACTGCATCGCCGATCTGGGCCTGTAAGATCATTTCAGAAATTTCCAAGTACTAATAAAATCACTTTGGACGTTTAATGTATGCTTGGACTGAACCAAGCTCGGACAAAATTTGAGCTACTTCAGAAATCAAAAAAATGCATGCATCTGCAGTTCTGCACCAATTGACGATGATGGCATGGCTACTTTTTCATTCGATTCAGATGAGAATGAAATTCAATCAGTTTTGTGTGCAAGTATGATTTAAGCATGATTGCGGTTGAGTTTCTTTTTTTAGAACGAAGGCTCAAGTCGAGCCCGGCTTTGAATTAATGAAGCCATCAATCGGTCAGGATTACAACATCATCAACTTACAGAGTCGAAACAAAGAAACAACTGAAAGGGTACAGAGTTCTGTGCAAGCAGCTAATAGGCTTCCTACCATCTACAAGCAAAGATGAAGAATCTAAAGAACAAGAACAACTTGAAGACGATGAAGCCCCCCCACCGAGTGCAATCCACCCCGCCGAGACACCAGCATGCTTTGAGGAGACCCAACTAGCTGGTCAAAGTAACGCTGACAGCTCCATGGGCTACGGCTGAATCGGAGACAACCTCCTACATCTCTGAAAGGGGCTCCCTAGCCCCTTGCCTGGCACGAGGTGTCGATCCGTCGGACGATGCAAACGCTCTCCCAAGAGCAAAGGTGTACAACCGACGCCATTGCCACCCAGAAAGCCATACCAGAGCACCACCAACACGCGTCGCCAAGCTCCACAAAGGGAAACATGGCACTGGGAAGGAACCTACACGCAAGGAGAAGCAAAATGCACAGTGGGGCTGCTGATGACAGAGCAACAATGGAGGGAAGCCACATGACCGAACTTGGAGACGGCGCCATGACCGCAGAAAGGCGAACAAGGAACCACCAAGACACCACCAACTCCAACCATGTCGCCGCCGAACGTCCACCAACCAGACCGAACTCACCACCACCCCATGCTCACTGAAGGCGCCACCTCCATGAAGGTGACGTCACCGCGAGCGTAGCTGCCGCCCAATCCAGAGGGATTTGGGTTTTCACCCCGGTACACGAGCAGGGGAGAGGCAAAGGGAGAAAGGGATAACCTTGACGGCGCCTACAAGTAGGAGATGGCGCCCTCAGGCATCGCTGTCGTCGTGGCCGGCAGAGCCAACCTTGAATTTCTCTAGGCCCCACGTCTCCCCCACCCCGACCACAGACGCGGCGCCGGCGACCTAGGGCGGCCGGAGACCAGATCTGACAGGGGCCGAAAGGGTTGGGGGCAGAGGCGTCAGATCCGGGGCGGACGCCCCCGCGGCCACCACGCCCCACAGCCACCAACCGCCGCCGCCTTGCCACCCGCGCGGCCAAGGGGGACGGCCAGCACCAGCAACAGCCGCTAGCTGAGGTCGACGTCGCTTCACCACCCGAGGCCGCCGCCCCAGCTCCAAAGCCCCCCGTGCGAGACAGGGCGGACAGATCCTCGCCACCACCCTCACCGGCGGACGCGCGACATTCCGGCGACCCCCTCCGGTGGTGGCGAGGGAGAGGGGTGGTCGGCGGCGGGCTAGGGTTAGCGCCGCTCGAGTCGCCCCTGCGGGAGCGACGCGGGGGCCAAGGGGGAAAGGGCCTCCACGGACTGAAGGAGGCGTGCTTCGCTTGAGTTGTTGTTGCCTTCGTGTGGGAGGGAGCTCTATTAATTGGAGTTGAGTCTTCTTTGTCAGGCTTACAGTTTGCTTGATCGAGAATTTGAGACATGCAGCTCCAAGTCATTTCATCTCTGGCGCGCGCTAAATCTTAGGACGCACAACTTGCGTATATATATGGGATGGTTGTGCTGCTGCATTGGCATGGCCGGCCATCATGTGCACCCGGAGGCTGCCCGCCTGCCCGTCGATGTGCCGCTGCCGTATGCCGGAGAAGACGCTGGGCAGTGGGCGCCGGCTCTTCGGTCTGTCAAACTTGCTGAAGTCCAAGTTACCTTGACTCTGCCTACCTAGTCTAAAATTTCAGAGGACACAGGTCGACTATTCATCAACTGAAAGATCGCCTTCTACTTTTTCTTTTTAGAAAAGGAGGATGACCCCCGGCCTCTGCATCTGGGCGATGCATACGGCCACTTTATTAATTATTCTCACAAGACCTTACAAAGAAATACAACAGCAAGACTAAAGCCACCGTCTAAGCAACAACTGTCGCTACGCCTATCCAAATGATGAAGGGGCGCTGATAGTCTGGGCCTAATACCAAACAGACATCGCAGCCAAACCTAAACATCTAAGACCTGAGGTTCCAACCAGGACGCCTGCCTGGTATGGGGCAGCTACCAGTCCGGCGCACTTCTCAACCAGGACGCCTGCCGGGTATGAGGCCGCCGCAGCCACCTGCCACGAGTCCATCTTTAGAGCTGTACTGTTGCATCTACCATGCCAGATCTCTCTGCCATCGACGTCACCACGACGCCAGACAGCGTCGTCCTCCTGCGCGAGTCCATCCTCCCACATCGAACTCCGAATCTGCACTGCGCCATGCCGTCAAGATCCGTCGCCATCAATGTATGGATGAAACACCGATCCACTGCGTCAAGATCGCCTTCTACTTCTAGCTGGAAAAAAAATCGGTATAAATTTGTGGCTACAAGCCTACAAGACCCGCCTAGAAGACCAACTTCATCATCGCCGTGCCATCTCGTTCTAGCACGAGAGATCCAATATGCATCACTTCTTCCTCTTCCTCTTCCTCCTCGTTTTCTTGCTTCCCCATGAAACCAGCTACTCCACGGCCATAGCTTCCGGCGGCGGCGACTTGTGCAGCCGGCGGTGCGGCGGTACCACCGTCCCATATCCTTTCGGATTCTCCCCCGGCTGCCCCATCGTCCTGTCGTGCGACGCCAGCATCTCCACGCCGATCCTCCCATACATAGGAGACAACGGCACCATGTACCGCGTCATAGCCTTCAACTCAACCACCTCCACCGTTGTCGTCGGCCTTCCGCCGTCGTGCAGCCGCAGCGTCCCCGAGGCCAGGAGGGTGCTCTCCGGGGACAACTACGGCGTGTCGTCTCGCACCGGTCTTTTCCTCCGCGGCGGCTGCAGCGGGATCAACGCGTCGGCGGCCGCCGGATGCAGCGTGCCCATGGGCGTCATGTCCAGGCTGCTCCGCACGGCGCAGTGCGTCGGCCTCGGCAACGACACCTCGCCCGCCGCTGTGGCGTGCGTCGCTTCCCGTCCGGCAAACTCCACCGCGGCGGTGCATGACCAGTTTCTTCTGTGGGAGAAGGTCGAGAAGCAAAAGTGCGACGACGTGTTAACCTCCACGGTGTTGGTGCTCACGGTGGAGGGGACGGCTACGCTGGAGTTCGGCGAGGCCGAGCTCGGCTGGTGGCTCAACGGGACGTGCGCCGACGGCGTGGAGCGTTGCGCGGCGAACGCGACGTGCACCGACGTACAAACGCCTGGCGGGGAGTTGGGGCACCGGTGCGAGTGCGCGGCGGGGATGGAGGGCGACGGCTTCTCGGCCGGCGACGGATGCTACCTCGGTGAGTCTTGAGAGCTTAAAAAAATTCGATATGCAGGCCATACGATCTCGTGTTCTGTTGCTGGGTGGGACCAGGTGCCGCTGTGCACCATGTCAGCTGCACTCACAAGTCGTGCCTGAGGTCGATCATGCGCGACATAATCCAATCTCCATAGTTCACACTTGGCAAACAAAAAAATGTGTGACATAATCCAATCACCTAGCAGTTCACACTTGGCAAACAAAAAAATGTGTGACATAATCCAATCACCTAGCAGTTCACACTTGGCCAAAAAATAAATACACGAAACAATTAAGATCGTCAAGAAAAATATGAGTTTAAGATTCTGGAAGAAGATAAATGAAGGGTCAATTCTCAAGATTCTAAAAGAATCGGCCAAAAGAGCTGTCCCCAATCTCCTACTCCCTTTGTCTCATAAGAGCATCGCCAACGGGAATAGTCAGTTTTTGCGCGTCCTCTGCAAAAAATTGCGCGTGCGCGCCGCTCTAGCAGACGCGATATATTTGTGGTCTTCTCCTTCGATACTCATAGATAGGCATACATAGATAAATTAAAAACGATACATAGATAGTTTTAGCATCGATAGTTCTTAGCATAGATAGATAAAAAAAAGATAGTTCAACTACTCGTCGTTGTCCTCCTCCTCCTCCGACTCGGTGTCCTCCTCCGACGACGATGTCGTAATGAAGGCGTCAAGATACCGATAATTGTTGAAGTCCCAGGTCGACGCTTCTCCTAGCTCCATGTTGAAGAACACGGCGGCCTTTCGCGTACGCCTGTCCTTGCGATAGGCGATGTCAGAATAAATCCGAGGCAATTCGTCGATCATCCGAGGACCAAACAATTACACGAGGCATTGACACCGAGATTTGTTAACGAGGTTCGTTGATATGGCTACATTTCCGGGGGCTGACTATAGGCGCTCCTCCCCATGACGGCGCAAAAAAGCTTAGCCCGCTAAAGAGTTACTTACATCTAAGCGATGATGCTAGCCGTCTCATCTAGTTTTGATTTGCGCTCATCCCTGAATGAATCTCCATATGAGACATCAAGATGCCGCCTCGAATATCTGAAGCGACTAAGAATTTTTTTTTTTGAAACGAAGACGCTAGACGCGTCCGACTTTAAATTAATAAAGCCACTTAGGCAGGGCGACTAAGAATTAGTAAAACCATTCCTCGAAACAAGCTTGCAGTAGCAGAAAAACTACACTACATCTCAGAGACTTAACTTTGACGACTGTTATTGTTTGTTGTTCCCATTTTTCTATGGAGAAGGTGCATCCCCTGCGTGGTGTCTCAAGCTCGAAGCGACGAAGACTACCCCTGCTCGTCAGCTTTTCTCTCGGCATCTTTTCCCTCGGCATCTTTTCCCTCTTCCTCATACACCGGCGGAGAAGGCGTAATACCATGACGAAGACAACCAAACAGATGCCGAAAAAGGCAATGACACACTTCCATGATGAACTTGTGGAGGCTGAGCTGGAGCAAGGAGTCAGTGACCCCCGGCCATTTTCCTACCAGGAGCTCACGGTCGCCACCGACAACTTCTCCGAAGATAGGGCACTCGGGAGAGGAGGCTTTGGGTCTGTGTATCGAGGGTTTCTGGGCGACATGAACCGCGAAGTGGCTGTCAAGAGGGTGTCTGAGACCTCTCGGCAGGGCTGGAAGGAGTTCATCTCGGAGGTACGAATCATTAGTCGGCTTAGGCACCGGAACCTTGTGCGACTCATTGGCTGGTGCCATGGTGGCGAAGAGCTCCTCCTCGTCTACGACCTGATGCACAATGGCAGCCTCGACACTCATCTCTACAGACCAGACTGTGTGCTGACATGGCCGGTTAGGTATATTTACTTTTAATCATTTGAAAAATAAATTGGTTTGGCACTTCTTTACTTAATTAACTGGAGTAGTATTTTTAGGTATGAAATAGTGCTCGGCCTAGGTTTGGCGCTTCTGTACCTGCACCAAGATACGGAGCAGCGCGTGGTGCACAGGGACATCAAGCCAAGCAACATCATGTTGGACGCGTTTTTTACTGCTAAGCTAGGCGATTTCGGCCTTGCAAGGCTCATCAACGACGGCCGGAGATCGCACACGACCGGCATAGCCGGCACGATGGGGTATATAGATCCGGAGACCGTATTGGCCGGCAGGGCGAGCGTCGAGTCAGACATGTATAGCTATGGAGTCGTCCTCCTGGAAGTCACTTGTGGGCGACGGCCAACTTTGATCCAAGAAGACGGTGATATCGTCCACCTGGTCCAATGGGTGTGGGACTTGTACAGCAGAGGATCAGTCCTCAACGCCGCCGATCAGCGGCTTAAGGGGGAGTTCGATGGCGAGCAGATGGAGCGTGTGATGGTCTTGGGGCTCTGGTGTGGGCACCCTGACCGTAGCATGCGGCCATCCATCAGGCAAGCAGTGAGCGTGCTGCGTTCTGAAGCGCCATTGCCGAGCCTACCGGCGAGGATGCCGGTGGCGACGTATGGGCCACCGACTGATCCTTTGAGTTCCGGAATCTTGGTGCTAAGCAGAGTCAGTGGCCGGTGATGGCGGTCCGACCGGAACACTAGTTAAATTTTCTAGTTATTGCCGGGTCTCAGTTCCTTGTGTCGGTTATAAATATGCACTAGCAGGAAGAGACAAATATACAGAAACAAAATGTTGCCTCCATTGAGCATCTATGAAACAAACACCATGTATATTGCCAGATAATCTTTATTTGCAAGTAAACTCTTTCTCTTCCTCTTCCTCAATTTCTTGCTCTTGGCTTGATGTCCTTATGCACCACTTCTTCCTCTTCCTCCTCAGTTTTTTGCCTCCCCATAAAATAGAGACCTTATCCACCACACGTTTGGCCGCCGGTTAATGATTCTTCTAGTTCATCATCGGTGACTAGCGACAGCGTGAGGGCCGACTCGACTCATTCAGCTCGAGACAACTGCATCCCAATCCGGGCCTTTAGGACGTTTTAGTATCGTCTAAACTTTTCAAGAACTACTAGTAAGATCACTTCGTTAAGTTTGTATGTATCTGCTTCAAAAAAAAAGTTTGTTTGTATATGTATGCTTAGACTGAACCAAAGTACATCAAATTTTGTTTGCTTATTTGAAAAGGGGATTTATATTCCCGACCTGCATGTTCAATGTTTTCAATGTGATTCAGATGAAATTTGATCCGTACGTTGAGTGTGTGTGCAGGTATATATGATTTCAGCTTTCCTTCTTGCTAGAGTAGTTGTTGTCTTTGCATTAATTGGAAGAGTCCCCCTTTTGATTATTCATGAATCTTGGTCATGCTTGCTTAATCAAATCAGCTGTGAGGTACAGTACTATGCAGCTCGGTAAGTTCCTCTCTGGGTTACGTTCGTACACTGAATTTTAGGATGCGTCAACTTGTGTCGATCGGTCGGGCAGTTCTGCTGCTGCAGTCGGCCATCGACGAGCTCCGCCGGAGCCTCGGAGCAAACTTCTTGCTAAACTCCAAATCGCCCCCTCTCCTGGCCTGATCTATATGGCTTGGCCTGAAATTCTGAAAGGGACACAGGTTGACTCTAACACCTCCACTGAAAAATGGGTGTAAATATATGGCTACAAGGCTCATAATCCTCTTGCACCAAGTGGCGAGAGGCCGACCATGCACCACCGCTCCCTCCTCCTGCTCGTCTTCTTGCTTCGCCATGAAACCCTCTCCGGCACAACGGCGGCCGCATCGTGTAACGGCTCGTGCGGCGGCACCAAGGTCCCCTACCCCTTCGGCTTCTCCGACGGCTGCCCCATCGCCCTGTCCTGCGACGCCAACACCTCCACGCCGATCCTCCAGTACAGAGGCGACAACGGCACGTCGCCGTACCATGTCGTGTCCTTCAACTCCACCACATCCTCCCTCGTCGTCTCTCTTCCGCCGTCGTGCGCACGCAGCGTCTCCGACGTCAGGAAGGCGCTCTCCGGCCGCAGCTACGACGTCTCTTTCCGCACCGTTCTGATCCTCCGCGGTGGCTGCCGCGGCAGCAGCGACGCAGCGGCCGGCGCTGGGTGTAGCGTGCCGGCGTCTGCCGTGTCCAGGCTGCTCCGAACGGCGCAGTGCGGCAGGAACGACACCTCCACCGTGGTCGCGTGCGTTGCTTCTGCTGCGCCGAACGCCACGGTGGCGAGGGCGGTGTCTCTGTTCTGGGAGAAGGTGGAGAAGCAAAAGTGTGACGACGTGCTGACCTCCGCCGTATTGATGAAAACGGCGGAGGGGACGGTGTCGCCGGAGTATAAGAGTATAAGACGGCGGAGTTGGGGTGGTGGGTCAATGGCACATGTGCCGGTGGTGAGCCTGGCGGCCGGTGCGTCCCACAGACCGCGACGTGCTCCGACGTAGAGACACCGAGCGGGGAGAGCGGGTACCGATGCGCGTGCACGCTGGGGTTGTACGGCGACGGGTACGCGGCTGGGGACGGATGCAACGTCGGTAAGCACTGCCCACATCCCCTGATTCTGTTTCACGGGCATGTTTGTTAATCCCCGTAGGCTGGGGTCGCAAGTCTACCTGGGGGTGCTGTTTGGTGATTTTTTTTCAAAATTATGATATATTTTATAGCATTTTCGGAAATTATAGGACCTAATGCAAAAAAACCAAAACTAGTAGCCCGTCGGCCATCTTCTGGCCGAAGTAGTAGTTTTCGGCCATCTTTTGGCCTAAGTAGAAGTTTTCGGCCACAGTTAGGCCGAAGTAGGGTTTTCGGCTAACACTTGACCGAAGAGTGGGGCACCTGGCCGAAAAGTTAATTTTTGGTCAACTCTTGGCCGAAATAGACTTTTTGGTTAAGTCTAGGCCGAAAAGTACTACTTCGGTCTCGTGTAGGCCGAAGTTGCATGGCTCATGCTGAAATGTATTTTCTCGCCACCCGTTTCCCGCCAACCCCTTCCCGCCACTCGTTTCCCGCCAACCCCTTCCCGCCATATGTTCCCGCCACCCGTGTCCCGCCAATCACAAACATATACAATTTAGAGA